GAACGTGGTTTATGTTGTGATAAAAATTATTATTTTTTTAAATCGATATTAACTACATATTATGTTGTGGTATATTTTATTAAAGAGTAAAGAGTAATATCTATTGCTAATTGTCAATAAAATCAGTCGATACCTGATATGATAACAACAGTTTGTTTTTGAGGACGTATTGATTCTTTCACAATTGATAAAATCGATCGATACATTAAACCATTGCACCTTATTTTTAGTTACATATGAGCTTTAAAATCGATAAGATGAGATAAGGAATTAAAGGTAAGCGAAATTATTAGTAAGATTAAGATATCTTTCTTTCTACGGGATTGTATGGGCTGTGTAATTTATGTGTGACGTTTCGGGAATCAATATCATTTGTCTCTTTGATTTGTGATCTACATTTCATTAATAATTTTAGCTTCATATACTATTGCATGGTATAATATTTTTGAAAATTAAAATAAACATGAAAGTCATTAACATCCTTAAACACGTATCTACATCTTACTAGACATATTCTCGATTACTTGCACAAAGTTAATGGTATTTTGCACTGCATCGGCTCTACCACTAAAACAGATATCGTTGAAAAAAAATCTGCATTACTGTGCAATTCCAAGATAATTCACTACGTCTTTTACGTAAGATGATGCGAACGTTCAGTCATTACTGTTCATCTCAAGAGTGAGGATGTTTTACGAAAATCGCTAAAGAATTTTTAATGCCAGTGGTTGTAAACAAAAAATTTTGAATATGTGTAAAAACGCTCATATTAATTAGCAAAAAGAGTTTAAAGTAGATGTAATAATTTTTTGAATAATTATTTGAAAGTTGTTACTCATAGTGTCTTTTTTATTTTAAGAAAATTTAGGAATTAGTGATATCCGTAAAAAGTAAGAAATCTTTGAAAATTTTAATAACCATTTAGTGATTTGTGTGCTTGCAAGTTTATTTTACTAATACATTGGAGTGTTTTTATAAAAAAGTTATATTTATACATGAGTAATAAACGCCTTAAAAAACTATTCACCTGCGCATTAGTGATAATAAAAGAAAAAATTATAAACTGAAAAATTATTATTTATTAGGAAGTATATTAATACCACCGCGTACAAGGTCAACAATCATGGGATTCTTTCTGCCGATATTGGCTAGTGCATTGGTAATTGGCATTGCCTACACATCATGGATAATTTTATACCAATACACGTACTGGAAGTGTCGCAAGATGCTGCACTTGAAACCTGTTCCCGTGATCGGCAACAACGCACCTTTTTTCTTTCGCAACGTAGCGTTTCCATATCACATACAAAATCTCTACGAAAATTTTCCAGGGGCCAAGTATTACGGTATTTTCGACTTCAAAAACCCAGTGCTCTTACTGAAGGATCCCGAGATGATTCGGGATGTATGTATAAAAAGCTTTGAAAGTTATGTGGACCACGACGCGTTTGTCACGGAAGAGATGGACCCCATAGTCGGTCGTAATTTGTTTTCCCTCCGAGGTCAGCGATGGAAGGATGTGAGGAGCACGTTGAGCCCGAGTTTTACGACTGCAAGAATGAGGATAATGTTCCAGCTCATTGCTGAGTGCTCGGATGATTTTGTTCAGTATTTCTTGGACAATCCCGAGGTCAGTTGTCCAATGAATGCTTTTTGTGATTGAAATGTCGTATACTAAGGACAAGTTATCGGTTCTTATAAATACTTTAACGTTGCACAGTCGTACAATTACCGAGATCTTTTTTAAATCTTAAAAATACATATCTAAAAAGGAATATTTTTAAACGTTCTTTAAAAATTTAAATATCAAAATT